GAGTCTCCTGCCTCAGCCTCCCAAGTAGCTGGGACTACAAGCGCCTGCCACAATGCCTGGCTATTTTTTGGTTGCAGCCGTCATTGTTGTTTTGGCCAGCCCGGGCTGGATTTGAACCTGCCACCTTAGGTGTACATGGCTGGCGCCTTAGCCACTTGAGCCATAGGTGCTGAGCCTCAAAATCTTATTACATCCTGCATTCAGTTTAACACTTTAGCCAAAGTCTCACCTAAAGCATTCAGTAAAAGGAATATTTCAAAATTCTTTTTTTTTGGTCCTTTCTAGGATTTGGTATGAGGAGGATCCTGGCTTTGTTGTAGCATAGGTTAGGGAGGATTCTCTCCTTCAGTAGGATAAATACCAGTTCTTTTGTAGGTCTGGCAGTATTTGTGAATTAGTCTGGTCCTGGGCTTTTTTTTTTTTTTTTTAGAGAGAGTATCAAGCTGTTGCCCTGGGTACAGTGCTGTGATGTCATAGCTCAGCGCAACCTCAAACTCTTGGGTTTAAGCAATTCTCTTGCCTTAGCCTTCCAAGTAGCTGGGACTACAGGCACCCACCACAATGCCCGGCTATTTTTTTGTTACAGTTGTCATTGTCGTTTTTTAGCTGACCTGGGCCCGGATCGAACCCAGCAGCCTCAGTGTATGTGGCTGGCACCCTAATGACTGAGCTAAGGGCACCGCCTGGTCCTTGACCTTTTTTTTTTTTTTGGAGACAGCGCCTCAAACTGTAATCCTGGGTAGAGTGCCATGGCATCACAGCTCATAGCAACCTCCAATTCCTGGGCTTAAGCCATTCTCTTGCCTCCGCCTCCCAAGTAGCTGGGACTACAATCGCCCACCAGAACACCCGGCTATTTTTTGCTTGCAGTTGTCAATGTTGTTTGGCAGGCCTGGGCTGGATTCGAACCCACCAGCTCTGGTGTATGTGGCTGGCACCTTAGATGCTTGAGCTACAGGTGCCAAGGTGGTCCTTGACTTTTTTATTGTTGTTGGAAGGTTTTTTATTACAGATTCAATCTTATTACTCATATTGGTCTGTTCAGGATTTCTATTTCTTCCTGTCTTAAGCTTGGGAGGTCAAATTCCTCTATTTTCTTGGGCTTCTTTACTCTAAAACTTCAGTGCTTCCCCATTCAAACTGTGTCCCAGCAAACCAATGGACATTGCTGGCCTGTAATGAGCCCAGGCTATGCAAAATGCTTCGCTTTACACAGGATAAAACTATGTTTATATTCTCTGGCACCTTCAAAGAAAAGTTTCCCCAAAGTTGTCCATTATCTCAGGTTATAATCTGGTAGCAAGAATTAGAATACACCAGAACCTCTCTTACCTGCTGGTCTGAATGAGCAAGGACAAGGTTGTTGGTATTGGGGGCAATGGCCAGAGCAGTCACTGGGAAATTGTATGCAGGCACTGTGCAGTGAAGCTGTAAACAAATAGACACAAGAGCTGACTCTTATCATACCTTCAAAAGACTGAAAGGTCTAGATCAGTAGTTTGTAATTTTATTTAGTTATTGTTTTTGAGACAGAGTCTCACCTTGTTGCCCTCCATAGAGTGCTGTGGCATCAGACCTCACAGCAAGTTCAAACTTTTGGGCTCAAGCCTCAGCTTCTCCAGTAGCTGAGACTATAGGCCCTGCCACAACACCCAGCTACTTTTAGAGACAGGGTCTTACTCTTGCTCAGGCTGGTCTCAAACTCCTGAGCTCAAGCAATCCACCAGCCTTGTCCTCCCAGAGTGATAGGATTACAGGAGTGAACCACCATGGCCGGTCTGTAGGTCAGTAGTTTTTAAATAGCATTGCTTAGAACTCAAGAGTGACATGGACATTCCTGTAATCTTCAAACATTTTTCTACACAATAAACTTCATTTTTAAAAAAAATTCATGTTTATTTACAATACTGATAGCATTTCCTGAGAACTCACAGTAAAGCTTTTACCTCAGAAAATCTATCTCTATGAATTGCTATAAAACCTATAGCTCGGCTCGGTGCCTATAGCTCAACCGGCTAAAGCGCCAGCCACGTACACCTAAGGTGGCGGGTTCGAATCCCCAGCCCGGACCCGCCAAACAACAATGATGGCTGCAACCAAAAAATGGCCGGG